TTTGTGTATCAATTCTAGTAACTTCTTAGTGAAATTTTTTGGGTCTTCCATGTAAAGTGTCATTTCATCTTCAAATAATGATAATTTAACTTCTTCTTTACCTATTCTTATTCCTTTTATTTCTTTCTCTTGTCTAATGGCTCTAGCTAATGATTCCAGAACTATATTGAATAGGAGTGGGGATAGAGGACATCCTTGTCTTATACCAGATCTAAGAGAAAAAGATTTCAGTTTTTCCCCATTTAGAATTATGTTAGCTGTTGGGTTGACCTGAGAGTTTGAATGTTTTATATTTTCTCAAAATTCACATATTAAGATCTAATCACCCTTTGATGATGCTAAGAGATGGGGCAGCTTGGTGTATTGACATATGCCTGTGATCCCAGAACTCTGGGAGGCAGAGGCTGGAGGACCATAAATTCAAGCCTAGTATGGGCAATTTAGCAACTTAATTGTTTCACTCATGAATAAACATATACATAAGTGATAAAATACAGGGGGAAAAAGGCAGGGGTTGTAGCTCACTATGAAGGCCTTGGGTTCAATCCCCAGAACTGCAAAAACAAAACAAAACAAAACAAAACAAAAACCAAACCAATAACACACACACACACACACACACACACACACACACACACACACACAATGAAATGGGCCTTTTGCAGGTGAGTAGGTCATGGGGGTTGATCCTCATGAATACAATTACTGTCATTATAAAAAAGGTCCAAAATAAATCCCCTGCTGCTTCCTCATCTGAGGACACAGCAAGAACATGCTGTGAATTAATAAGGCCCTCACCAGACAGCAATTCTGCGAGCTTCACTATCTTAGACTTTCCAGTGTCCAGAATGGCAAGAAATAAATTTAGGTTGCTCACAAGCCACCCAATCTGTAGTACTTTGTTATAGCAGCCCAGATGAACTCAAGCAACTGCCAAAGCAGTTATACGGTAGGCAAAGTACCTGACTGCAAAGAAAACAATAATCGGTACTAAGCAAATTGGTCAACTGGAAAAGGTTTCCAACAATCATGTCTCTGAGGGATACGAGAAGCTATTAGTTTAAGGAGAAAATTTTTAAAAAGACAAAAGGAGAAAAAAAAAGAAAGTAGATAAAGAACATAAAAATCCATTGAGCATCTCTCCCAGAATCTTCTCACACTATTCAAAGATGTTTATAGAAAGTTAATATTTTTTCACTATTATTATTTCTTTTCTGAAATTTCCTCTCTCTATTCAAGTAGACAAACATCTTGAATGTTTTCCTTAAAGCTCACATCCACTAAGAAGAACAGCATTTGAGGATGTGAGATTTCTATGAGAACAGCAAAACTCCCTGTATTGTGGGGTGGAAAGAGCTCAGTGTGTCTCAGAGGTGTGACCTGGACCTTCAGAGCCAGCTGTGTGGATGCACTTGAGAGGAAAATCCCACGTGGTGGCCACAATCTATCCAGATTGAAGGCCTAGATCTACAAAGTTGTCAGACTATGTGAGCAAGACCAGATGTCTTAAAGGGACAACAAGAAAATGAGACAGTGGACAGCTCAACAATAAGCAGTTTGCACAGATGATCAATGGTGGAAGTCTTGCCTGAGTGTGTGGCTCTTCCCATATCCTATGGAGGCCCTGTTGCATAAAAATGAACATCAGTCTTAGCATCTGAGTTTGAGAGTTATCTCAGCTCCTCATAGGATATGAGATTCAGGTCAAATTATTTAGCCTGTCTGAAACTTTCTTCTAGTATCTATAAAAGGGATTCTAATTCCTTAGGTCACTGTGAAGATCAAATGAAGTGGTACATGAGAAAATACTTAGTAAGGGATAGATACAAGGCATGTGTAAAGAAGTATCACTAAAGCATTGTCTTTTTACAGAACTTGTCCAGATGTTCTACTTGACTTATGTTACACAGCTGTCCAAATGCAGCCCCTGACCCCCTGACTGCCATCTCATTCTTCAATTCCAGTGTCAGATTGAGCCCTTGCCAGTATAAGGTTCTACCTTGGCTCCAAGAACAGGTCTTAAGCATGCCCTTCCTGTACTTCAGCTTACCCATTATAATCAGTCAAGAGGAAGGTATTATCGCTGTCATCCTCAAGTGCATAGGAGATTGGTGTCCCATAGTTGAAGGTGTCAGAGGATTTCATCCAAAATGCACAGGTTACAGCATGGAGAGATGGAAGGACACTATCCAGCATGACATAGCCATAGATGCCAGAAACTTCAAAATCTAAGTTAAAGCTTACGGACTGTTCTGCAACAAAGAGGAAAGGTGAGCAGACTGTGGCACTTGTGAGGCATTTCTCGTTGTTGAAAGTAAGCAACAGAGAAGCAATAATATTGTGAAAATGCTAATACTCAGTAAACATGATTCATTGAGAAGCAATTTCGGAACTAAAGTTAACTTACAAAGTATATTTCACAATCTCTTAAATAAAATAACCCGTAAGTATATGAAATAGCAGAACACTTAATTATGAAAGAATGAAGAGAAATAAGGAGCAGTTGTAAGAGTTGGAATTGGGAGGTTGCTGTAGCGGAGACTCTGAAGCACACTTGCTTTCTGATGAGAAGAACTTAGTGAAGAGGGCCAGATGATGCTGCAGGAAAGCAGCCTTAAGCACAAGAGGATCGCCTGGCCCCCTTGGGGCTCTGATTTTTCCCTACTTCATGAACAATTCAGCTCTATCCCAAGTCTGCAAAATTTATTCAGTAAAACAAATGTCCTGGCTGGGCCAGCCTCACCCCTAGGGTGCACTGAGACAGTGATTGAGACTGGACATGGTGGCACACGCCTGTAATCCCAGCACTTGGGAGGCTGAAAACAGTAGGATCACTATGAGTCCTATTTATGTAGTAAGACCCTGTAGATTCTGTAGACCCTGTATTTAAAAAATAAAGCAGAAAACAAAAACCAAGCAAACAAAAAAACAAAAAAATCCTACAGCTAAAAGACTGCATATATTTATGATGTCCTTGTTGCCCAAGGAAGCAATTCAACTTTGATCTACTGATTCTTAAACAGCTTCGTAGTCTTTCACCTCTTGAGTTAAATAGCTCAACAAAATGTCCTTTCCAAATGCAGAATGGAATTCTAGTAAATTCCATTTTCTCCACTTCCCCGTATAATTGTAAGGTTCAATTTCTTCATCTGTGCTATTGAAGATATTAATAAGAGCACCTAGTTTATTGAATGGCTGCGAAGATTAAGTAAGTACAAAGTGGTTTGTAGTGATATCGCTATCATGGTACTGTTTTTACTACTGCTATTAATAACACTGAGTTCCTACCTGTTTCACACCTGCTGCCTGAGAATCCCGGCTGACATTTACAGCTGTATGAGTTCGTCTCATCCACACAAGTGGCTTGGTTTCTGCAGGGGTTAGACTGACATTCGTTGATGTTTGATTCACAGTGTGACCCTGTGAAGCCTGCAGCACAGTGGCACCTGAAGAAAACAAAATGTCACAATGATTGAAACAGGTGCTGAAAAATATTAGAAGGTGTCTCCCATTTGTGATAACCTTGTCCCCAAAGACTTTGTAAGTTGAGGGCCGGCCAAACAGCTCAGCAGATTAAAAGGGACTGGGGGTTCGATCCCTGGGCCTGCCGTGCCCCACCCCCCAGGGCACTCTGAGATTGCAATGGAGACTGGTTGTGGTGGTGCACACCTGTAATTCCAACTCTTGGGAGGTTGTAATTAGGAGGATCACTAGGAGTCTGACCTAATAGTGAGACCCTGAACACTCTGTAGATCCTTCCCCCAAAAATACAAAAAAAAATTGTAAATTGAAATGCTGGAATATATTTTCCTCATTGAAACAATGCTTTATTATTTACTTTTTCCATTTTACCAGATTAAGTCATTTGAAACAACAGTATTAAAACATAATAATAATGATTATAACAAAAATACTACCAAAGTAGTTTTTGTCTAGGTAAAATATTACTTAATTTTATGGATTCTCTCCTCACAGAAATCCTTGGAAAAATATAAAAATTCAGATGTTATTCCAATGTCTTTCTATATATTTAGTCAATCTTTATAGCAATGAAATAATACCTGGATTGTTAAAATTAGCATTATTCCCATTTTACAAATTTGTTAAACTACAACCAGAAAGCCTAAATAATTTGCCTGAGTCTTATCATTACTAAGGAGTAGAGTAGGATTTTGAAACTTGTTTTCAGTCTGTCCTATAGCACTTTTGTGGTATGCAACAAATCATCTAAACCCATCAGAATGGAAATAATCATGTCAAATGTTGACAAGGTTGTTGTAAACTAAGAAATCTCTTATTGTGAGTGAAACTACAACTTGACAGCCAACAGAAGTTGAGAATTTGCCTTCTCAGAGACCCAAATATCATTTCTTGTTATCTTCTCTAGAAGATTATTGCAGAAAATGCATAAGATATAACAAATGTCCATAGCAGTATCATTCTGAATGTCTATAATGAAGACAATTCATTATAGACATAATGAACAATAAATGTACAATAAATCTTAGTACAGTCATGTAATAGACATGAGGCAGCAACTGAAATGACTAAATCAGAGTCAAGTATATTCACCATGCTTGGAAGCAATGTTGAGTGAAAAAATTTCAAAAGTACAATGTCTCTTATGTAATTTGTAAAATTACTCATTGCTTATAGGCATTCTATATACAGTAACATATAAAGCCTGAATGAGAAAGAAGTATACCAACTTCAGGACAATGGTGACCACTGGGGAAGAAGAGGGAGAGACAGAGAGAGAGAGAGAAAGAGAGAGAGAGAGAGAGAATAAATGTATGTGTCAGAGGTAATCCAACCCTATCTTTCAAACTTACTAAGGTTTGATGATCAGACAAAATACTAAGGTTTGATGATCAGAGTGCTAAGTGTGTAACTATTATTATTTGTAATTTTCTGTGTGACTGAAATATTTTATAATTAAACAGGACATAGCATTAGTGTCTTCGCATGATTATCTCTTTGGTATTGATCTGAAGATGATTAATAACAATAAGAAGTATTTGGGCAAATAGTAAAGAGAAATTTTAGTTAGAATTGGGGGATTTTACTGGGTTTTTGCATTTGATGATAACTGTGTTTTGGCTAGAATTTTGTTTATCTTTATCTGCCAATGTTTGATATTACTATGATGTGCCACATCCTGACCCCTGAAATAGGTTCAGTTTGTCCCCAAGCTACATTCCTTACGAGCTGACTTTGTCTACTCCTTCCTCCAGTTAGGATTTAGATGAACTTGACATCCATCCATTGTTTTGAATTCTAGGGAGAATTTGGGAGTCTTTTTCATTTGGAAAGTTTTCACTGCCTATGGTTAGGCACTAAATGCCAGGAAGTGTATGTAAAACATCACGGAAAATAATTGAATCTGGATGAGACCTAATTTCCACATGGAGAGTGGAAGTCTCCTTGGAGAAGCTGCTTTCCAGATTCCCCTGCTTTGTGCCTTGACTCTTTATGGGAGAAGCATAATGTAATTTTGCAGGGGCCAGTATGGAAGGTGACTGTGAAGTGTTGCCTTCGAGGGAGGCATTTTTCCTTTGCTTTTAACTCTTACAAAATTGAGAACAGCCGCATCCTGAGAACAATGGCATGCCCTAAGGTTTTAGCAAGCAAAAGCAGTCTTTTATAAGGCAAGAGTGCTGCCTTCTCCACCTGCCTGTAAGGAAGCTGGTGGAGTAGGGCAGGCTCCACAGATGCCAGGAGGGGCTAATTTTCAAGCTGAGTTCTACTCCCACCATAAGAGTTGCCTCAGAATAACAGTCTTTCTTTCCCTCCTACATCACTGTTTTCAGCCACAAAGGTTAGCCTTTATTTATTTATTTATTTATTTATTTATTTATTTATTGCAGTACAGGAGATCGAACTCAGGACCATGCACATGTAAGGCAGGTACTTATGCAGCTGAGCTATCTTACTGGCCTTGGTTAGCCTTTATGATTTTATTTGTTTCCATCAGGTTTCTCTTGAGTCAAAGGTTATAAAACTAGATGAACATCGTGGATATAGAATGTAGATTGGCACCAAAATTGCGACTGCATAATCTATTTTTATTTTATGCAGGGTAAAAATTTCAGCTACACTACAAATCATTTGAAAATATGGTTTGTCTAGTGTTAGTATTATTTATTGTTATATACTGGAATTATATTTTCTTTCATCTTTTATGAGTTCTGAAGTATACAGCAGGGGTTTCCAAACCAGGATATCCATCAGAATCATTGTGATATTTAAAACACAGTAAGTGGCTATTTTAAGTTGTAGGTTTTCTTGTAGGCTTAGTTCAACCTTATTTCAAGTGGTAGAGAGATTGAACTATAGCCTGTCCTTGTGTTGTAGGCAGCTGAGTTAGATAGCAACCTTATAGGCAGTCAGACAGGGGTAGGTCCTCAAAGGAGCCAGTATGGAAGACAAGACATCTTGCACCTGTTAGAGAGACAGGCACTCCACCTGTGGGCCAGACCTGGAGACAAAAGATCAAACAAATGCTTACCTCTCTAAAGGTAAACATCAGGGATTGATATTCTAATGATTTTCTCTTCCTTGAGGAAGCCAGGAAAAAACACTAACCCAACTCCCTGTCTGAAAAGCCCCTGTCCTGTGTTCATGCCTGCTTGCTACATAACTCACTTCCCCATTTGGTCCTGGATTTAATCAATTCCACCTGAGCAATTGTGCTTGTAGTCTTAACTAGCAGACCATAGTTTTGTCCCACCTCGTGTGCGAGTTCCCATGTTTTCCACCTTCTCTACCTTATAGTTCTGTTCTATAAAAATCTCTAGAAAAGACAGATTCCTTGGCAACCTACTAAGGTCCCCTTCTGTCCCTCTCTTTGACAGAAATTTTCTTTCCCCCAATAAATAAATTTTGCTTTTAACCTCTGCTGTTTCTACAATTCATTCTTCGGTTTTAGAGAACATGAACTTATCCTGGGTATCTTTCAGGTTCGGAGTTTTATTCCCCTACATTAGTTAGGTTACCACTGGAAAATAGAAGACCACTGACTTGCCATAGTCCTCCAGAAAGATTGCGAAATGAGTGAACAGTCAAGAAAATGAAGCCTTGACTTGGCCTTTTACCTGAAGCTATTGGTGCCATCCTTACAAGTGGCTCCATTTTGGCATGGCTGACTGAGACACTCATCAATGTTTATCTCACAGCGGATACCCAGAAATCCAGGTGGGCATTTGCACAAGAATCCCCCAACTTGGTCCTCACAGGCGGCATTATTAAAGCAAGGGCTTGACTGACATTCATCGACTTCGGTTTCACAGTGCAGGCCTGTAGACAGAGGAGGCAGAGAAAGAGCCCTGATGATTAACACCCTGCAGAGACGGGATCAAAGTACTGACTTCTTGGAGGATGCTGCTTCTAAGCGCCTGGATGGGAGGTTGCAGAGCCACTGGCCAATCAAACTGTTCAAGATTCAATGAGCAGGGCCAGGGAGATGGCTCAGTGGAATAAGCATTTCCCTGGTAAGTGCAAGGGCCTGAGTTCAATCCCCGGTTCCACCAAAAAAAAAAAAAAAAAAATCCAATGAGCTTTGGCTTTCTGGATCATTTTATAAGTAGACTATTCATAATCTGCTCTCTTATGCTCTTTCTGAAGCTATAATTATTAATAAGCATCTAATTAGAGATGACGATAAAAATAAAATTAGTAAGCATATCAAAAATTTTCTGTTTCTTTGACCTTGTCTCCATCTTTCCTTAGCCATTGCCTTTCTTAGGCTGCTTCTTTGTCAACTCAGTATGTGTTTTAAACTATATTATTTTGCATCCATTTGTAATACCCATTTGCAAAATGCCTTATCCTTCATTTATTTACATAAATTTGTAAATAGTCACATGATTTATCTCTAGGTCTTTTTGAAAGTTTCCTGTAACACACACAGAAATACACATACATGCACAAGAATACTGCCTTTTTTTTTTATTT